ATTCCATTTCAAGGTCAGGGTCAAGATAAACACGAAGATGGTCATGGTGCGGCCCAGCGTGCTATTTAAGGTCCGCTCCAAGGCCGATTTCCTTGCAGCGCGGCGTCATGTTCCCTACCATTCGATGGTCATCAATGGTGGGGTATATACCCATTTTCAGAGACACCCATGGGCCATGGATGGGGGATTGGGGATGGGAATACAGTGATCTAAGTCGTAGAAATTAATGAACTTCATGGGTGGCGCAATGTAGGCGCAAAATTCACTAAGAACTCGGGACCTGTTTAGCTTGAAGTGCCACCGCAATTTGCGGGCTCCATGGAAGGGCCACAAGGGCCATGCAAACTGGTGGATTTTTTGGCAAGCCGCCAACTGAGTGTAATCCAAATAAGCCAAATCCAAAAATGTCATGAATTACTAAGTACATCTAAGTACTATTCTATACTATTCTAGGATCCCAAAAGCTGAGCACAAGCCCCAGCCATACTCTCAGAACGATCTCTTTCAAATGTCGCCAGTTCACTGCATCTACTGCTGGGTCCCTAGTTGCTTGGCCATCCCGCTGCGTCCCATGATGTCCCATAGCTGGATGTTCATCGTTGATCCATAGACTCTACAACTGTGAAGAGATAGAAAGGGTCAAAATGGTCAAAAAAAAGATGGCAATGCAAAGTGCACTGATGTTGTATATCATTAAATCACCTCATCTTCAGATGTTTCACAAAAACTTTGGATTGCCATGTAACCGTTTTACTCCATGATTGCCCAAGCCATTTCTTGGCCAAGCCCGGCAGCCCCCGTGACCAAGCCGTGACCAAGTCGTTTCGGACTGTTTGTTGACCAACGAGTCACGGCTTTGCAGTCACAAAGTCGTTTGGAATGACCTCGGACATCGTCCACAGAAGCCACAGCACAGCATTCTCAAGAGACAGAGCCGTGTTTGGTGCAACTCTGATTCACATTGCATGGATACATATAGTATGCATATAGTACATTTATATAATTAGAATTAGAATGAATTAGATATTTAGATCATCCTATCTTTATTTGTTTGGTGGATTATTGGAGCTACCCTATATGAAAATTTATCTAACGCATGCCTAATCTTATGTTCAGATTTGTACAATTGAGAATATCTTCAAAACACCAACCAGTCATATTTAAATCATACCATTGGGGTGTGTTATCTCCCCATCATTGTTCCTGGAATCTTCCCAGGTTTCTTCATTTGTGCTGGCTTTTGTTCAGCACTCACATTGGCTGACCTTGGACACGAGTCAACAAGTCAACAAGTCAACAAGTCAACAGGTAATGGACGATTCCTCCATGAAAAACTATGACCCAAACTGTATCCCAGGCAGTTGTGTTTTTTAAAAGGGGAGGACGCATTTTAATCATCCAAGTCTTGCGACCGCGGCTTGTATCATGCTAAAACAGGCTCGTCTTGTTGCTGAAACATCCCAAGTTTTCAGTTGGTCGCAGGGTGCATCAGTTGGTTTCCTAAGTTAGTGAAGATTGCTCCAACAACTGGGTTTATGTGGAATATCACTTAAATCTATCGTGATATAATGATATATATATAATGATATATATATAGGGATTATAAACATTTATAAACCAACGTTACAACTAGGGAGAAAACGCAGCAGCACCCTGCATGGTCACCCCTTGGTTTTTCGCCCAGGACACCTTCTTAGTCCTTCCCGGACTCTGTGGCTGCGCGGGGCGCGCAGGTACCGGCACGCCCTTGATCCCCGTGAGTTTCGCCAGCTCCATATTGATGGTCTTTTGCCGGTAGGCATCCTTTGGAGCTGTCACGATGTCACGATAGCGGATCTAAGCCCATTGGCTCAAAAAAGGATGCACGTTGGATGTTGGATGTTTGTCTATCTTAGAGTCTTGGAATCTTTTAGTCTCATAAGTTCATGTCTTATAGTTTTATATAGACTTATATATATATATACATATGGTGGGAGAATGTTAATCCCAGTTGATGTTGGTGTAAGTTCCCATCTTTCAGCGCCACGTTCCCAGGGCCGAGCTTCTTGCTTCTTCTGACTCTGCTCCTGCCGAGGGATCATCCGATCCAAAACCTCTTGTCGGACAACCCAGTGGAACAGTTACCATCTGGTTATCACTAACAGTTTGCCATGGAAAATCCCCATGCTATTAAGAACGGTAAACCATCTATTTCGATTAGGGCCATCTATACCATGGCTATGTTAAATAGCCAGAGGGTAGTGGCAAAACAGTTATTACTGATGGCATGATCCAAGTAGTGAGTGGGGAAACCCCAGATCATCACAGTCCTACTGATACCCTTCAGCAACATAGAATGGAAATCCATGGTGGTCTCCCTTTTTCAAGGTTCTGAGGTTCATGGTGGATGTTCCATATCTATGTTTCTTCAGGGAGGACATCATTTTTGATGTAACAAAACTATGGTCCTGAAGTGGAACTCCATGGAGAATCCCATCCGGTTATCCCGGGTTTCGCCATGCTGCTGCGTTCTTGCTTGTTGTACTTGCTGTAGTAGCCAACCGCAAGAGATAGACAAGTAAAATCCCACTACTGACACTTGACCGTGCAATCTTTCTGGGGGGTTAGTATAAATCTATATGCCCTCTGGGAATCAAAATAATCAAACATGGCTTGCTGAAAAATCCACCATTTTAGTTCAATGATCTTGCCAGCATATAACCTCCATTTAGTTCGCAGATTTCCCAGCTAGCCACGTTTGACGAGGCCGGAGATTCAAATAGACCACCTGGATGATTTTCTTACCCTGCGCCAAACTAACATAGATGTGGAAAACCAATGGTTTACCGTTTGGAAAATGATCACTGTAGGTGGATAAACTCCAAAGCTATGTAGCCATGTGTTACAGGAGGCTACCAACAGCAGCAATCAACCGAAACAAAGCGGTCCGATCTCCTGCAGCCTGCTTTCTGAGTTATCAGAATCCGAGACATCCTCCGCATCTTGCTGCAAGGCCAAGACGGGCATGGCGGCTGAACAGCGCGGCGCTTGAAGCGCCGGATGTTTTCTTTGTGCTTTTTAAAGGGTGCCTCTTTAAAGAAAAACTATTCAGGAGATGCCAAAATGAAGAAATCCACGACTCAACTTTTTTTTTCCCTCGACCAAGGGTTTTGTGGGCAGCAAGGGAGAAATTGCAGCATATTGTTCTTTGCCGTCAAAGTTGGCCGGTAGTTTCGCCACTGCGTTTATTCTGGGCATGGCGGCTGTGCGCGTCTGATTTTATGCCGCCAACTAATTATTGTACACCCTCATTGGTACGGGTCTCTTCAGACAGTTTTGACTGTCTTCATATGCGGTGATTGGTTTCATTTTTGCATATCTTCATGTAATCTCTGGAGCCAAAAGGAAAAACCATTTGACAAGTGAAACACTGGCTGCTTCAAATTGATCGTTTCGTGATCTGAACGCCGGAGCTGCCATTCAAAACAGCCAGGACTCGCTTGGTTCAAAGCCACACTCCCAGTGTCTCAAACAAAATGCCCATCTTGTCATCTATCTATCTATCTATCTATCTACATACCTACCTATCTATCTATCTATCTATCTATGTATCTATCTATATACATATTATATATATATATATGGTTAAATTGTAATGATTCACTAATCTGAAAGGTTGGGCTATTTGAGGATGATTCCCCGAATCCTGAAATACCCATATACATATATATATATACACATATATTCAATATGAGTACTTGGGGTTGCATCCCCAGCAAAATGTGGCTAATTACATGTATAATATAAGTGTAGATCTGGTTGGTGGTTTTAACCATCTTGAAAAATATGAAAGTCACTGGGAAGGATTATCCAATATATTATGGAAAAACAAAACCTGTTCCAAACCACCAACCAGATATAATAAGCTTCTGAAATACGCCTGCTATATTACATGAGTTCATGTACAAACGGATTTGTTTAAGGAACCCCAAACAAATAAACAAAAACTACCTATAGATTCCCGCTGTAGTGAAATTTACCATTTGGAACATGAACAATCATCTTCACCAAATCTAGATATATGCTGATATATGGGTTAATTACAATATATAATTATATATAGGGCTTATAAACCACTTTCTAACTGGGATGCAAAACCAGTGCCGAAGTTCTATACTGCCGGGGTTTCATCATCACAAGGATTCGGTTAGCAGGTCCCAAAATACCAGCTGGGAATTCAACCTTTTGCCATGGAAAATGGCCATTTCGTTCGATGATTTTACCCTCTGGTAAACTGTTACATAACAAACTGGAAAATCACAATTTTTAATGGGTAAATCCATGTAAATCCACTATTTCTATGGCCATGTTCAATAGCTATGTTAGTTTACCAGAGGGTACCTCTCAAAAATTGTGATGTTCCAGTTCGCAAACTGTCAAATTACCAAAGGGTAGAATCTGTCCGGAACCACTTTGGCGGTAACCCACGTGGGAAAACGCTTTCTCATGACCAGGTATCAGTACGCGGCAGGTCCCCAACATGTACAAAATGCCAAAGTCGAGCAATGCTAATCATACAAAGTGGGGCCCCTAGATAGCTAAGTTGATTTAGAACTCCAATAACTATGGTTCATGATACTTGTAACTATATTTTTATAATGGGGCTTACAAACCAACTTACAAGTGGGGGCCGACATTGTACGTGCATATCCATGACGGTATGAAATGACGACCAGCGCGGGTGCATTGGGCAGCCAATGTTTATCCATTGAGTTCATGGGGGATGTCGGCCACCAAGATATCCCACCTGGATAACGAATTGAAATATGGGCCATATTTTTGGCCCAGTTACCTGAGCAAAAAAGCAGATACAGTACCCTCCTGTAAACATACCAGTAGCTAGATTCAGCTAGATCTGGGAAACATTGGAAAACCCATGAAAACCCACCATTTGTAGATCCTTTTCCTGGGAAAACCTGGTGTTCCTAGGAAAACCCATGGATTTTCCACAGCCAAGGCGCGCGTGATCAAGCGGCTTTCTGTGGGCAGGAATTCACCACAGCGCATCTCCGGACCATGCCTGGTGACATGGTGAAATTCTCGTGGTTTATGTGAAATGGTGGTTTGTAATGGGTAAATCATTGTAAATCATGGTAAATCATGGAAACAAACGGGGCCAAATGGGAAATAACATGGTACATAGTAGGGATGTAATGGGAACATATAGTGGGACATGATGGGGATATCATGGGAACATCCTACGTAAATCATCTATCTATACATGGAAAATATCATGGGATATAATGGGGATATGTGATATAACTTATGGGATATATATATATATATAATATATATATAATATATATATATAATATAATACAATAATATTTTATAATATAATGTAATATAATGTAATATAATGTAATATAATGTAATATAATGTAATATAATGTAATATAATATAATATATAATATATAATATATAATATATAATATATAATATATAATATATAATATATATAATATATATATATATAATATAATATATATGTGTGTGTATACACAATATCCTCATTGAAATGAATATAACACCAAGTTTTATCACCCTTTTGACAACAAAATAGTAATTAGCGTAAGTAGACTTTGAAATTGGAGATCTCTTCCAAGTTCGAACTGGATTTGATCTAAATTGTCACACAGATTCCCGCAAATTTGGAGATCTTTTGTTGGTTCTCACATTTATATACAGTACATTTCTAGTGAAAGAACTGTTTAAAACAGGATTCTCTTGCTTGGGCATCGACTCTTTGGGCAAATCTGGGTACATTACAATAGTTCACTGACCTGAAATCAGATAAATCAGGTTTGTTTTGAGATAGTTACCTCTACAATTCCCCTCATTCCAGGGTTCGGTCGCGACGTGAGGTCGCGACCAATCCTGACCACCATCCTCTTGGTGACGCCCAGTGAGGTCCTTATTGACCAATTGTCATATTGTAAACATTATATATATATATACATATGTTGTATGTGTATATATATATATATATTAGTATCCTCATTATATCGCATGTTGTTCCCCACTTATATAAATGTAGATAGATTCTTTTTCCCATTAAACCCACCATGTCATTTTTCGGATTTCCCCACGAGAATGGCATATCACTTGGCCGCCTGTCCAGCGGGGGCATGCTACGACGGATCTCGTCCGGCGGCAAAGGAAGCGCCTCCTGGGAGATAGACCCTGAAAATCGATGAACATAGCCAATTTTCAGTATATATAACCATAAGTATTTAGATATGGCAGTGTGTCAAAACCTTGTACCCCTGGTGAACATCAAAATAGCTGGTAAATGGATGTTCATCCCCCTAAAAATGGTATTATATAATAGGTATTGATCCATACCCATATCTGGAAATCTGAGCTATATACCCTCAGGTAAATAAACTTGTTGATAATGGTAATAACTGGATAAAGATGATGGGGCTGGAATGGGTATATAATTGTGTTTAATGGTTACCCTCTGGTAGATTAACATGTTGACCCTGAAAATGACCAACTTTTAATGGAAACCCATCTTCCAACCTCTATTTGGCAGGGTCTATGTTAATTTATTGGAGGGTAACTTTTCGCTGGCTAGGACATTTTAGCATTGATAGCAACAGATTTTACGTAATACTAGTTCGTATCTAACTAAAGTTGACTCAATTAAGACGCACTGATTGAATCTAATTAGAATTCAATGGCATTCTAAGGTGGAATATAGTGAGAATATAGTTGGATATCATATCATGTGATCATTTCCAAATGCCAGTGGGAATATAGCGGGATATCAGCGGATACCAGTACCTCTGGTCAAATTCGGAGTATTTATGTCCTATTGGTAATATCTATGTCCTGTTTTTTAGGCCTTTGTAAGGGAATATGCCAGAAAATATGGCCTTACAAGCCTTACATGGTACAGCTCCTCAAATGTTCATTGATTTCAGTGGTACCCTATGGATCCCTATGGATCTCCCTCGAGTGTGCTGGGTTTCCTGCGTTTTTTCATATCCGTAAAGGGCCATGTTCCATAGCTCTGTTGGAATGTTGAATCCTGTAGGGAAATGTTCGAGGCAGCTGCTGGTCAGTTCGGAACATCATCCCCAAATTCAGCCGCTTGAGTGGTATAAACCCTCCAAAACAGGTGCTTTCAACGTCCAAAGAGCGACCGCTTTCATATCTTTCATCTGGGCATAACGACGTGCACTCACACGTTGCCTTGCACGGTGCTAAGGTGGTCAAGAAAATGTGAGAAATGTATTGCAGCCTTGGGAAAATAGATGGACACATGGGGTTTACCAATTTCACTATATTACATATTGTATGTGTATATATATATTGTGGTTTATGATACTGAAAAAAAAGGTATAGTATTCAGATGGTGTTTATAAACCATCTTATAAGTGGGGTTTACCAAACGACTCTATCATTCGTTATAATTCTATCGGGTGATGAAAATCAAAGAAGGGAACTTGAGGACTTGAGGACTTGGGGTACCCTACTTTCTGGCCAGACCCAGATGGGCCAGGTCGAAGTCGCCTTTCTTTTACTCCAAGTGTTTCAGGATACGAGTTGGTGACGCTGAAACCGCAAGGATTTGTTTGGGGGTCAATCTTTATCAAATGTCCATTTCCATCCATTTCCAGGGTCTTTTCCTAACAAGAGCCTCTAAAAACCAGAGCGTTTCCCATTCATATCCCATGAAATCTCAATGTTTCAGGAACATGTTAAAACACCACTTTCCATGATTGAATTCCAATTCTTCTCAACATTTTGACGGTAAATCACCCACTTTCACTCCACCTTCAACAAATCGGCCAAGTTGCTGCGCGTCAATCTCCTGTTTTTTAGAGGTCTATGAGGATGAGATCAGCCGGAGTTTTTGTCCAACCATGAAAACCAACAAACAAAATATAACCATGATTTGAAAACCCATCATTTGTAATAGTTTTTTCATAGCATATCCAAAATTCATGCAATGTTCCTAGGAAAAAACTATGACAAATGATGGGTTTGAAGTGGTGATCTAACTCCACCATTGGAGAATTTTCATCTATCTCATGAGGCTATAAGACCAATGGCTTTATCAATAGCAGCCAACTTGTACCGGAGAGTGGGTGATATCATCTAGACAGGGACGAATACAGTATCCCGACAATGAAAAATATAGATGGTATCACCCCAAATTATAAACCTATCTTCCCATATAGGGTCATTATGCTGCAAGATATACAACTCATCGGCATGTACAAAGTGGTGCCAAACCCTATTTATGACTTTGTTTACAAATCCGCTGAACTATTGGTGTATCTACCATAAATCCTAGGTAACCGACTTATAAATCAACTTAGTCAAGTATGAGGCCCCCCTTGTCTGCATGTGTACGTATGTGTGTTCCAATGTTGGTTTCCCTGCTTTGAAAGTGCTTCGTGATCAAGCTCCAGGGGGGAACCTAACTCCAAACGACCATGGTTCATGGCATGGTAATGTTAATTTCATTTTAGAAAACAGCCACAATTAATCAACACCCGCAGTCCATGCTTTTTGGCAGTACTAGTCTGGGTTGGTCCCCCCCCCCCACCAAATAAACATGGGTGGCCACCCCCTATTAGAAAACTCCCGTCTGGAAAATCCTATTTGATTGTTTGGTGGTGAAAAGGTTATTTGGTCTAAATCCTATGAAACCAAATGGATTGAAGACATTTCTCATGCCAAATCTAATGAAAAAGCCAATGGATTCAAAGCATTTCTCATACTAAATCTCATGAATCCCATTATATAATTACAAATCTCATGAATTCCATTTTTGGTTTTGTTGGTCACTATTTGGGGGTGACAACCTTCTCAGGGATCTAGGCCTTCTGGAATTCTTCTGGGGGTTATTAATACGAACTTGTCATTACGTATAACCATATAGTTAATGATCAATGGTTTACAAACCAACTTCTAGTGGAGGGGCCCCACATTGTATATGTTCGTATAATATGGCAATCAAAGCTGTATAATATGGCAGTCACCATTTCCAACCAAATTAAGAACTTTGTCTTTGAAATCGCCCCAAACAATTCAAATACAACCTCGTTCAAACATCAGCATCATGTCTGGTTGTAAGTCGTATTTTTTTCTCTGATTGAATCCATGTGTTTAGTTGGTTTCATCCCTTGCATGGATTAAACCGCCATTTCTATTTGTCAAATCAGCATTTTCGCTGGTGAAAACTCTGCGCTCCAAGTCATCCAGCAGCTCCAGCAGCTCTTCATGGAACATCCCACAAAAAAATATGATGGTTTCAAACTACCAGTAGGGTTTTCTATGGTCAATCTTTTTTTGTCCACAAAAAAAATGGTACCCCCTGGTAATAGCTAGATGGTTTATTTTATGGAAAAAAAACAAAAAATGAACTTTGGGATGATTTAGGGGCACCACCCATTTTAGGAAACCTCCAAGTAAGCCTCCAGACCGGAGCCGGGGGATCCCGGCTCGAACATCGTGGTGTGATGGGATTGTTTGATTCGAAACGGGATTCGCCGGTAGCAACCCAAGAGCTTAAACCAGAACGATCCTACTTTAAAAAAACAACAAAATAAAACACAACATGCTGGATAATTTTTAATGGGATGTTGTATACTGGGTAAAAAAAAAAACAGCATAGCTCTGGGGCCCTGGGGCCCTGGGGATTGGGTAAACAACATGCTGGGTACCCTCCACTAACAATTCGCGAACTGGAAAATCACCATTTTTACTAGGTAAATCATTAAAGCTGGGCCATTTTCCATAGCTATTGTTAAATTACCAGAGGGTAAATTGTATGAAATTTGACTAACCATGACTAACCTGAAATATTTCTATAATGGGATGATTCCAGCGAGATCAAAGTGAGGTCACTATCATTGACCCATGGATATTGGTTGAAGTTCTGGAAATCAGAAGGTGAAGTGTCACGTTGTCCCTCTCACCAAGGAATTCCTCAAGTTGCTTCGAAAATCTCGGAGATCTAGGAGGTCAAAACCCTGGGACAGGTAGAGTACCCTAAAAATTTTAAAAAATCGCTGGATTTATGGATGTGTATTGCCGCAAATATGGTATACAATAAGTTCTGACCCATCCCCATATGGTCATGATTGATTACCCTCCGGTGTCAAACATGGCTTGCTGGCAGATCCACCATTTGCTTCGATGATTTTCCCAGCGAACTAAACCTTCCTTTTTTATCGTGTTTTTCCCTAGCCACCTTTGATTACCAGAGGTACATACTGTGGATCGAAGAAATCCTGCGCCAGTTGGTAGATGGTTTATCCCATGATAATCCCATTGTTCACAGTGTTTCATGGTTACCTAATGGTTACCAACTGGTGCAGGATTTCTTCCATCCACCGTATGTTTACGATGTTTTTACGTTAGATTGCACTATAAGTATAATATATATATAGTATATATGGTATATATGGTATACTAGAGTACTATATATGTATATTTTGTGGTGTGCATATATATATACACACTTTGTATGTGTATATATATAGTTAGCCTTAGGCTATCCCGTCTTTCCTATCTACCCACCCAGCCTATGATACAGATAATCATAAGGGATAATACCTATGACGGGATAGCCATAACCTTATAGAAAACAACAATATAAATCAAAACAACAAAACAAAACAAAAAAAACTCAAACAACCTAAACAATACAATAGATTATAAAATAGACTATACCAAAAACCATAACAACAAACCAAAACAAAAGACAATTTCACTTTTATAAAATGAAATTTGACTATCATTCTTCTTCAAATTCTCCTCATGCTTCAAAGTGTTTGTGTGCCTCTTGTAATTTTGAGTTTGAATTTCATAATCATCACTTCAAATTTATGGGGATAACCAACATAATTTTCATCATCATTTATCATGAAGATTATGGGATTAATTACCACAGTCTCCCCCTATAGGGGAAGCCTCCAATATACTATCCCAACCCCGAACATACATACCAGCATACATACAAACGAGCATATCACAACAGCATCACATCTTTCTCAATCTCAAATCTCTATTAATCCGCAATTACCATGCCCAAACTACCCTTCATGAACTTGTTGATGACCATGTCTTCTTAACCTTAGCGCGGTTTGAACGGCACGGCAATCTTTTATCAGGCACAAATGCTCTATGGAAGCAATGACCTATTCCTACTAAGAGCTCTTCTTTTTCCCTCGCAGCGTCTGCGCAGGGGAAGGGTATAGAAACTCTACAACTGAAGTTGCTGCTCCTCCTCCTCCTCAATCTCGTGGTGAGGTGGTAGTGGTAGTGAACCTCTCCCACTGGCAGTGCTCGGCCGACTTACAATTGTCTGTGCATTTCTTGCGACGATCCTTACATCTCGATTTCGTATGGTGCTTGTTGCACTCTGAGAAGTGGTATTGGCAGCGTTCTACTTCATAGCAGTTCTTGATGCAACCACATGATTTGTCGCATGCCAAATAGCAAGTGGTATGGGTCGACATGGTTCTTTCGCCATGTGGTGGTGCAGCCGGCATCTCTTGTAGCGCTTATCGCATTCTTGGTGGTGTTTGCATGCGTGATGGCAATGTAACAACGGATGGCTAACAGCCATTTCAAGGACGGCGCAAAGGAATAAAAGATACTTGAGAACCATGGCAATTTCGTAAAGAGCCTACAGCCCTCAGCGCAAAAGAGCTTTTCCAGCCAAGATACGGCTACGGAAGAACATAAAAATGCTGAAAAATGACACAAAATTCCAAGCTCAAACTGAAAGAGCTAATTTCTGTAGCTTTCCAACTGAGAATGTCAAAGATGCTCAAATTGAAACAAATTCCAAGGTCAAGCTCTCCAAGAATATGTGGCTTCAAACCTCCAACTGACATATTCCTAACAGCTGAGCGCCCCGACAGCAGGATGAAGAAGAGATTGATGACAAAGCCAAGGCGGGGCAGAAGGGCAAAGGAACATAGAGTAATCCCAGCCAATGACCCAAACGTGCCGAACACAAACTCCAGGGGGGAACCTAACTCCAAACGACCATGGTTCATGGTAATGTTAATTTCATTTTAGAAAACAGCCAGAATTAATCAACACCCGCAGTCCATGCTTTTTGGCAGTACTAGTTTGGGTTGGTCCCCCCCCTATTTATTAACATGGGTGGCCACCCCCTATTCAAAAACGCCCTTCTGGAAAATCATATTTGTTTCGTGGTGAAAAGGTTATTTGGTCCGAATCCTATGAAACCAAATGGATTGAAGACAATGAAAAAGCCAATGGATTCAAAGCATTTCTCATACTAAATCTCATGAATCCCATTATATAATTACAAATCTCATGAATTCCATTTTTGGTTTTGTTGGTCATTATTTGGGGGTGACAACCTTCTCAGGGATCTAGACCTTCGGGAATTCTTCTGGGGGGTTATTAATACGAACTTGTCATTACGTATAACCATATAGTTAATGATCAACGGTTTACAAACCAACTTCTAGTGGAGGGGCCCCACATTGTATATGTTCGTATAATATGGCAATCAAAGCTGTATAATATGGCAATCAACATTTCCAACCAAATTAAGAGCTTTGTCTTTGAAATCGCCCCAAACAATTCAAATACAACCTCGTTCAAACATCAGCATCATGTCTGGTTGTAAGTCGTATTTTTTTCTCTGATTGAATCCATGTGTTTAGTTGGTTTCATCCCTTGCATGGATTAAACCGCCATTTCTATTTGTCAAATCAGCATTTTCGCTGGTGAAAACTCTGCGCTCCAAGACATCCAGCAGCTCCAGCAGCTCCTGCTCGTTCTTCGCCAAGGGCTGTTTCAACACGTCTGCCTTCTCAATAGAGGACCTCAACAGAGCAGCCCTTCTGATTGTGGCGGGTTTCCAAAGCCATGGGGAAATATGCTTTAGCCTCCGGTTCAGCAAGCGTGCACGAAATGGCAGGTTTTAATGGGAAAATCATCTACGAACGGGAAAATCATCTGTTTTGATGGATGACGAGTGGTTTGCACGTGCATTGTACCCAAGCAAAGACCTTTGCACATTGGGATTGTTTCGCTCGATTTTTTGGGGCGCGGGATAGTACTAATTTATTGGATCTACATCAGCCATGAGGTGATAACAATCCATCAATTTGGGATACTGAGGAGCCACTATATATATATATATTATAATAATAACCTCACTATATATATATAATTTATACTTTTTGGGGATTACGAATATCGACTGGGATCCTGATTAGTAGCTGGGTTCGCTATTGTGGCTAAAAATCCAAATGATTCTGAAACCATTTTTTTCGGACAAAAAGTTTGTGTGAAAAAGAACATGTTTTCATATTTTGTTCTGGAAAAAATTAAGTGCGTCTGCCTTTTCCAAAAGAATCAAATCGCTTATAATTACCCTCTGGTAAATTAACATAGACCCTGGCAGTCATCGGGTTTGGAAAATTAGTGTCCATTCAAACTAGCCTATTTTCAGGGTCTATGTTTATTTACCAGAGGGTATACCGTTATCAAAGAAGAATTTTTCCACTGTCCAAGGCCCTGGGCCATGGGCAAACTTTTCCAGAGCTGATCCCGGAGCGGGATAGAGAAGAAAACCTTTTACAAAAACAACATGATTTTCTCGTTCTCTTTCTCTCTTTCGTTTTTTTCTTTCTCTTACTTTCTCTTTCACTTTCTAGGTTTCTTTCTCTTTTCCTTTCTCTTTCTCTTCCTCTTTCTTGTCCTCTTCCTCTTCCTCTCTCTCTCTCTCTTTCTCTTTTTCTCTTGTTTTTCTTTTTTTTCTCTCTTTCTCTTTATCGTATTACACCTTTATTAGAAAAAACTTGAAGTGGAAAAAGTGACGCAATCAACATGCTGAACCCCATTCACCACAAGTATTCCAAGTACTACAATGACCACAAATATCACAAGTTCATCGGCAAAAACAAACTGCAATTAGATTTCAATTCTCGCCAATTAAAATCCTGACTTGAATGTAGGATCGTATTTTTTCTGGGGAACAGTTTTCTTGAAATTCAACGGTATATATAGCATTCGTTTGAGGGGGGTGCACACTAATCAGGACGGATCTTTATTACGATACAGCAGATTCACTTTTAAAGATTCACCTCCAAAGTTTTTTGGTGATTACACTTCTATATTTTCGGGAATTACTATGGGATTATTATCCATTTTAAGAACCAACCATTTGAGAACACCGGCCAACCGCAGCCGGGCTGCGTGATCGAGGCTTGAGGCTCTGGACTCGGGGGACTTGGTGTCAATGCATCACCTGGGCGGGGCCTTGGAGAACATGAGTATTATATATATTATATATATATATATATATATTATATTGTATATTATATATATTGTATATATATATTATATATTATATATATATATATTATATATATAATATATATAATATATATATATATAATATATAATATATATGATAATATGTGTGAAATATCGTATGCAATATGCATTTCTCCCATACATTCTCATACTATATACATTGATATGATACATGTGCACATATAATTGTCTGGATATATCATAGCGCGGAACTGGGTCCTACCCAGAAACGGTTGTGCTGGGATAACCCATGGCATTGGGAATTTGAACGTAATTTGATATGAAAAAACAATAAAACATATACAACAATATATGTTTACATATGTGTACGAGTACGTAATTATATATATACACATATGGATGCATTATGGATAATGTTTAATAGTTCGCCAGCCTTAATGCATGCCATTTTGGGATAGTTTCCCCTTACTAACCATCATTTACTGTGTCGTCGCGGTGAGGTCTTCATAGTTTATCTACATATATGATATGTATATACGTGCATGTAAAAATCTATTACATAAATATATATATAATATGTATATTCGATTATCGAAGTGTATATTATATATAATTTAACACATGAATAAACTCTTCACCTATCCCAGTATTCTCTAGCAGCGGTTCGTCAAAGTGCGGGAACATCAGTCGTGTGGACCATGGAAAGGGTACTCCCAGACAAACGAGGATGAAGAATGACAGGAATATCCCTTCCAATCGTCTTTCTGGGTCCACTGGATCTGTTCAAACCCCTATCATATTGTTGTTTCTATATTTTATATCATATCCTATGATTAAATATGAAACCGGTTGGTGGTTTCAACCCATCTGAAAAATATTAGTCAGTTGGGATGATAGTTCCCAATATATAGAAAAATAAAAATCATGTTCCAAACCACCAACCAGGAAATTATATCCTCGCGATATTCCCATTCTATCCCCAGCCCCATGGTTGGCAAATGCCAGGAGCGGGGTCGGGAATCCAGTGGCGCGCCTCCGGGGATTGACGACGTGACCGTGACGGACACGTCACCGGCCAACTGGAGAAGTTGCAGATAAAGCTCCTTCAAAAGTGCAACGCTCCACCCCAAGTACGTTTGCGGGGCCTGGCTACATGGAGGTTTCTTGAGTCATGGGATGTCATGGGGGTACCACCAGGAAACCTCATCCATGGATAGATGGACTTTCCAGTATAAACCAACCAGCTAATTAATCGGGTACCCCCATTGAATTAAAAATAAACCCCGAATAACCATACTGTGAACAAAGTGGTACAATCACACATGTTCCCCGCTTGTGGGTATCGTTTGCCGAAAAAGCATTTCATAGGGCCTGTAATGATCCCGGCAAGAGACCCCAAACAGTGTGGGGAAGTAAACAGAACATGTATCATAATCTTGATGTTGCTGATGATGTTGATGACGATGGTCATGTTGATGATGATGATGGTGATGATGATGATGATGATGATGACGATGACGATGACGATGACGATGACGATGACGACGGTGAGGGTGATGATGATGATGATGATGACGACGACGACGATGATGATAATTACTAGTGATGATACTGATGATGATACTGATGATGGTGGTGATGATGGTGATGATGGTAGATAGTGATGGTGATGATGAAGATGATGATGATGATGATGTTGATGATGATGATGGTGATGATGATGATGATGATGATGATGATGTGGATGTGGATGTGGATGTGGATGTGGATGTGGATGTTGAGGAGGAGGAGCAGGAAGATGATGATGATGATGATGATGATGATGATGATGGTGATGGTGATGATGATGATGATGATGATGATGTGGATGTGGATGTGGATGTGGATGTGGATGTGGATGTGGATGTTGAGGAGGAGGAGGAAGATGATGATGATGATGATGTTGAGGAGGATGAGTTGAGGGGGAAGACAGATCCCAAGACCGGGAAGCACGCTTTGTGCAAGCCTGCGCAGGCGACATGTACAGGGAAAATGCTGTGCACCAAGCAAGCGACACCCGTTTTGGGCGAGCCTGCGCAGTCGAAATGCGCATGGACATGTCACAAGAAGCATTTTGTGCAGAAATCAGGGAAAATGCCGGACGCTTCTCCCGCGGCCAGCGTTTTGTGCGAGCCCGCGCAGGCGAAATGCACATGGATATGTGACAAGAGGCATTTTGTGCAGAAATCAGGGAAAATGCCGCACCCGTATCCCGCGGTAAGCATTTTGTGCGAGCTTGCGCAGTCGAAATGCACATGGACATGTCACAAGAGGCATTTTGTGCGGAAATTTTCAGGGAAAATGCCAAACGCCCCAGATACCACCTCAATTGAACACCGGGCCTTAGCACCTACCGTAAGAACCCCTCAGTGTGGACACACTGTTTGGGGAAAAAATGGGGTCACACCATGCAGGGGCAGCATCACAAAACATACATGAATAGTATAATGTATGTCAAATGCAATTTTCTGCAACCGAGCAGATTTAGGTCCTGAAAATTCCGACCACCAGTGTGGTGATTACTGAAAGCCGAAACCCCTATATTGGTTGGTGAAAACATGTAAAGACCATGGTTTCCGTTGAAGATCTTCCCTTATCCTGAAACGATGAATACCCTCTGGTAAACTAACATAGCTATTGAAAATGGCCATAGAAATAGTGGATTTTCCCATTAAAAATGGTGATTTTCCATAGCTATGTTAAATTACCAGAGGGTAGGTATAGTACTCAGCACCATTTTCAGATATTTATGCTAAATATCTGAGGATTTCAACCAGCATCCGCCATGATTCTCCAATTTTGGGGCGCCCAAAGTTCTATGTCTGGCACTGGGTCCTCCACAATTACCACGCCTTTGGCATAAAGATCAATCGAAGTCACCTCCATGGGCTCCGGAGACGAAGCAACGACGAGACGTAACACGACACTTGGGGCCGTTCACCCATTGTTTTCACCATAGCCTGAACTTTTGTACATAGCCATATCTAATCATACATGGAGGTTTGCTGAAATGGAAGGAACCTCCAAATCATCCATTTTAGATTGGGTTTTTTCCATTATAAACCATCTATATTTACGGATTTATGGGGTACCCCCATTTATGGAAAGCCCCATATATACATATATATATATAACATCATGTGTTTTTCTACATTGCTTTTTGTTAGTTTGATTCTGGAAGATCTGCTGAAGCACTGAACAAATTGACACATCTCCAAACCCTCGTTCTGAATGTAACGCTAGCCTGCTGCGTGATGATCTTCCCGCAATAAACATAAACTGTTCAAAAGATGTCAAAAGTAATGATATGTTTTTATATATATATATATATATATTTGCAATCTCCTCGAATAGTGATTCTGGCCATCCATATTGGAGAACCCTTTTTGGAAATGACATGCTGTTCAGGTTCCTATGGACTCATGTTTTTCCCATCAGGGATGCAACGGACGACTTTTTTTCGCCCACCTGACACAACACCGCCAGCAACACCGCAAAGGCACACACCAATCCGCGCATGGCTGCGGCCCAAATTTCATCGGCTTTTCAGGACATCAAGGTTCGACCCGAGTCGTCCGACATCTTCGTTGGATTCGCTTGGATGAACATGTGACATGATCATGACCATATGATATCATATCCCATAGGATCCATGTATGGTATATATATATATGCTAACATGACTGGGGTATATTGATGGTAAATGTTACCATCTATAGCATACATGGATCCTATGGGGTATCCATTTATAGATGGGATTTTCCATGAAATAAACCAATCAGCCATTGGGGATCCCCCTTGGCTAACAGCATGAAGATCAAGATCATCGTCCCGTTTGGATGGAAGTGGACGTTGAAAAACGTTTCGGAAAGTCAAACTAGGGATGGATTGAATGAAGATTATGAAACCCACTGGAACCATTGCACATATAATATGTATATATATATACAATATAATATATATATATATAATATATATATAATATATAATATATATAATATATAATATATAATATATATAAAATATAATGAATAATATATATATCTTGAACGCATACTTTGGATTACTTTGGTATCTCCCTAGTCTTGCCGCTTGCCTGGTGTTGTTTCCAGAAGTCGACACATGTCTCCCGGCTCCACATCTCGGATCCATGTCTTCTTGGGAGATTCAGCTTCCAATAGACATGGATATTTACAAGGTGGGGCCCCCCAGTGATGTTAGATGGTTTATAAACCCCAGGAATACTATAGTTATAAGTACCATAAACCATAGTTATTGGAGTTATTTGCACCAACTTAGCTATCGTTTGGGGGCCCCACCTTGTAGCAATATAGTGCACAATTGCACAATTGGTTTGGATATGTTCTTCATTGGTTTTTGCAATATATTGGATCTATGACATCTATTGAATCTATTGGGCTTTGTCTGGAAATAGAGTGCTCCAAAACCCATCACAATTGCAGAAATGTATCTATCGATTGATCGATCTATCTCCATTTATATATCTATATCCTATATTGTCACCTACTACTCCTACTACCACAATTTACCATGTGTCCAAACCCATTTAGCTTCTTGGCTGCAGGTAAGACTGTGAAATGCTGCCAGACACCGGAAATTCCTCCCGAGGCAATTGTAATAACGAGTCGGTTCAATTCTACCGGAAATCGTGACCATGACAAAAGCGCAGCACTCCATTGCCACGTTTGATTACCGGAGTCCCGGAAGGTAGTTCAGAAATCATCCAAGTAATACATATTGGGTTTGTTCCGGACTTGAGAACCCCTACATCCTATGGTGCATTAATAGTTTCCCTGCTAAAAACCATACCAGGCTGGGCCCAATATGGCAACATCACACGGGAGTCGAATTGCATAACCAAATCCAAACTTGTTGAAACAAGTTGGCAACCGTGGACTATGTATGCAAATTCCTGTTTTGATGGGCAAAAAATTATAAAAAATCAACATCTCCTAAACATCTCCCAAAGTAAACTATTCTTTAAGGGCTCCGAGAATGTGAACTGTGTGAACTGCTGTCAGAAAATAGGATACCCCCAATTCTAATGGGATTTTCATCATGTTCCCTCTTAAAATGGCGAGTTTTCTGGGTATCCCCTACAGGCCAATCTTGAAGGTTCTAACATGTTCTAACCATTTAGGCCACACCTCCTCCCATTCCTCCCCTGCGACCAAGACCAAGACCTCCTTGCGTGTCTTCGAACTCCTGGAAATTGGCTGACGCGAAAGATCAGGAAAGTTGATGCGATCTGTGGAGGCGTAGTTACCGTAACACCCCAAAACATCGAAAAAAAATAATCAGAATGATGAAACATGTAAATTGATAAACATTAATATTAATCATCACCATGAAAAATCAGCATTATTAATCATGATTAACCATGATTTTCACCAATCTCAACCAATGGAATCATATGGAATTTTATCATTTATTATAACCGAGGTCTCAGATCCCAAAAATGGTTGTGTGATCTAAACATCCAATAAACCATCCCTTAAAATAAGAACAACTACCGTTGTTGATGGCTCATGAAATAGAGATTTATAGTAAACATTCTTTTTTTGGGGGGCATGGTTACCGCTACTGGGATGTGTTTTCTTTGTTTTACCTCATTATATAATCTTGGATTTGCGTAAGGAACCTCCAAAAAGTAAAACATATTTCCTATATATGTCCTAAGTAGTGGATTTCCCATTTGGAAAATAAAAAATCAATTTCTGCAAACCCAGGAAAATCAACGTATAATATCTCACCGTTTCGCAAAACATCTGCCACGGTTCCCGCTGGGTTCCTGGGTTTCCTGATACGCTGGGTTGAGCGTGAGAAAGGTTTGCTGCAACCTGACAGGGATCTGCATTGCAAAAAAACATCCTTGTTAGCCTGGCAGGTGTCTCCCAATCATTTCCCAGCTACCCTCTGGTAAACTCACATAGCTATGGAAAGTGGCCTATTTATCGATGATTCACAGTAGGTACCCAGCTCTCTGGGAAACCATGCCATTTGGACTGAAAATAAAAAATGCCTGAAACCACCGCTCACAAACAAATATATATATATATATAGATAGATAGATAGATACTCTTTATATACATATCTAGTAATGATGATGATGATGATGATGATGATGATGATGATGAGGATGACGATGACGATGACGATGACGATGATGATAATCATCATCATCATGATGATGACAGTAAGATCTAATAAACATAACAATAATAATAGCAAGAAATGATAAGAATTATCACAACAACATCATATGCTATATGATAAATCACAAAAACAATGACAATGATAATCACATATAAACACAATGGGAATATACGTACCTCTCTATCTCTCTATCTCTCTATCGCTCTATCTCTCTATCTCTCTATCTCTCTATCTCTCTATCTCTCTATCTCTCTATCTAATCTAATCTAATCTAATCTATTATAATCTAATCTAATCTATCTATCTTATCTTATCTTATCCTATCCTATCCTATCCTATCTATCTATATATCTATCTATCTATATATCATATATCTATTACATGTTACATCATGTTTTTTACCATTGATTTACCATATTATCTATAGTAATCTATAGTATATATTAGTATCTATTTAGTAGCCGCCTTAACAGGCAAAGTGAAAGTTGTCGAGCGGATTTTTCACCATGTTCGCTTGCCCAGCCATAGCGGCTTTTCTGGGCGAGTCTGCAAGCAGGCGACCGGAGAGAGTCACAGACCGAGTGCAATCAATTTGTTTTGTACTGTATATGTATTATATCATGTTATTTACCATTGATTTAATCTGCTTGGTGGTTTCAACCCCTCTGAAAAATATTAGTCAGTTGGGATGATTGTCCCATTTATTTACCATGGATGTTTCCATCTTTTTTCGACACCGCGACATCTGGTCCCAGGCACTGCACTTCCTCCGAGGGATTTCCCTGCCACGCCAGGGCCCAAATCTCCAGCGAGGCCAAGGCATCGGGGTCCTGACTGGGGACCCGGTGATCCAACGTGGCGAGAGAATTCCCTGTAAAAATGGTGAGATTCATAGGAAAATCATGGGAAAATGGAGAAATTCATGAGAAAATCATAGGAAAATCATGGGAAAATGAAGAAATTTATAGGAAAATCATGGGAAAATGGAGAAATTCATAGGAAAATCATTGGAAAATGGAGAAATTCATAGGAAAATCATGGGAAAATGGAGAGATTCATGGGAAAATAATGGGAAAATTGAGAAATTCATAGGAAAATCATGGGAAAATGGAGAAATTCATAGGAAAATCATGGGAACATGGAGAAATTCATAGGAAAATCATGGGAAAATGGAGAAATTCATAGGAAAATCATGGGAAAATGGAGAAATTCATAGGAAAATCATGGGAACATGGAGAAATTCATAGGAAAATCATGGGAAAATGAAGAAATTCATAGGAAAATCATGGGAAAATGGAGAAATTCATGGGAAAATCATGGGAAAATGGAGAAATTCATAGGAAAATCATGGGAAAATGGAGAAATTCACAGGAAAATCATGGGAAAATTGAGAAATTCATGAGAAAATCATGGGAAAATGGAGAAATTCATGGGAAAATCATAGGAAAATGGAGAAATTCATGGGAAAATCATAGGAAAATGGGAAAGTTCATTGGAAAATCCTTGATGAATTGGCATTAGAATGTCAAACTCATGTATAAATGCGGGGATTTTCCATTGCCATGTTTGATTACTGGACGGGGAATCACCACGTTTTTCAGCTCAATTGAATCTCTCCAGTTATGGTTCACTGTGGATGGGAAACTGCGATTGAGGCTCCAACCGGCTCCCCATTTAATATGTTCATTGGGAATATGGATACCCAATGCTCCCATTCGCTCCTAACGTCTTGATTGATTAATGGGTTACAAATGGCCCAGCATGACCCAGCGCCACCCCAAGTCTGAATGGATCCTAAAAGTTCCCATTTCAGGATCCGATTGATTGGAGGTACCTACCATTTTTTTAAGGCCTATTTTTCAGGGCTATGTAAGGGGATATCCCCCCAAAATATGGCCTTATATATCCTTATATGGTACTAACGTACCTCCATTTTAGGATCCTGGAGATCTCCCATGGAATATATGATGAAATGGTACAGAATCCAGCAGTTGCGGGTATCTCTGTATGGGTTCTGTATGGGTATGTGCCAAAAATTGGTATTTCAATACTTATAGATGGATACTGATCATATACCATCATTTTAACCATGATTAAATAGTGAACGCATGTTTATTGACATTGATGCTAGTTTCCTCAGTTTTGTTGGCTTATATACCTCTGGAACTACCGTTGCAAGTACCATAAATCATAATCTCTTGGTGAAATTGGAACTGGTTGGTGGTTTGAACCCCTCTGAAAAATATTAGTCAGTTGGGATGATTATTCCCAATATATGGAAAAATGTTCCAAACCACCAACCAGGGAATAATATTCACCGCGATTTAGCTCAGTGAGGCACCAGCATTCTAGTCTTTTCTCATCTCATTTTCAATCCCAA